GGATCCATGGCTAATGGAACGAGGGTGAAATTGGAGAGTCAATAGAGTTGTTGACTTCCACACACACTCTTTCTTTTTTTTTTTTTGGGCAGTTCCTGGAAACAGAAAGCAATTAATAATAGAGTCTGGTGATTTATGGGTGTCAGTTTTCATTTGTTCAAAAGTTAAGCTAATGATTTACAAGTTTAAATATATTAGTTTGAATATTTATAAAAACCTTTTTAATCAAGAATTGAATTTTAACCAGGTTTAATTAAGAATATTTTTAAAAGATCACTTTGAAATGAGTAAGAATTTTTTCCAAATTTCCCAGGCACTTAATTATTTTTACAAGTAACTCCCAACCTATAATTTTCTGTTTTGTCTAGCAACTTCTAAAATATGTTCTATAGTAACCTAGAATTCTGTAACCGGATCCGGCGTATAAACCAGTCAAGCCACCACCCGGTTCTCACTTTCATTTTCGTTAAAGAAATTTGTTTCAGACATTTTCCGCTTCCAATTTCCAATGCAAAACGATACTGTAGACTTTTGCAGTTCATTGGCCCCACGGTGCAGTGTAGTAGAGATATATATACAAATATAACTGTGTGAATGGATATATATCAGCTGGGATAGGATCGTATCGTATCGGATCGCATCGCAGTGATTTTATTAATGAGCCTAGACGCACGCTTAGCACGAAAAACGCCACCGGAGCGATGTGAAAACTTGTGGATTTCTGTTTCGATGCGGAATCGATCGAAAAGCTAAGACAAAGACTGAGGCAATAAACAAAAAAACCGAAAAAGTAAAAAAAAGAAGAAATAATAAAGATTAGGCCAGGCTGGAGAGCAATGGGGGCGTCATTGGCGTTGGCAGCACATCGCATATCAAAGTGCCACCTCTGCGGTATCATGGCAATCATTATAATGTGAGTGTGGGATCGTGGCCATATTATAATGGGCATAAATATAAGCTCTCTACCGATTATGGGGGCGCTTGGCAAGTGTCGCACGAGCAGAACGTGCCGTGCCATGGAGCCATGGATGGAGCTTCTTTTGGCCTCCTGTGATTTCGATTTCGTAAGGCTTTTTTTTTGTTTTTGTTTTTTTGATTAATGCCACCATAGACCATAAAGCCATCCACCTATTTAGCTATTCTTGGCCCGCAATCGGCCGTACAATCATTATCGTAAATGTTGCTCACCAGTTGGTAAATGCCATTAATCAAACTGTTTTACATTTTATTTTGGTTCCATTTCGTTACAGCCAACCAAATAAAAATTGCCGGGAATTCCATCAAGACCATCAAAAACTGCGAAGCAATTCGAATTTTTTGTGGTTACTAATGAATGAATGAATGAATGGATCTGTAGAGAAAGGTGAGTGACAGCATAACGAATGTCTACGAACTACCGGCTGCCATTGAACTTGATTTGGTGAGAGGTTTTTGGTTTTTTTGAGTGGGAATCCAACTTCCTTATAAGCTATATCTCATATGAAATATGATAACATTAATGGGTGTTGTAGCCAGGCTTTAATAGGGTTAACTTATGTGATTTATACTTATAGGGAATTGGCAGCAAAATAGGCTTTGAATAAAGTTAGTTAACATGTTTATTAAGAAAGCTATTAAATACTTTTATATTTGATATATAAAGGTTGTTTTTATATCTTTTGTGTATGTGCTGTGAATATAATTTATATTATCAAATTTTAAGCTTAATAGAATACCTAAAATTCTAATTCTTAGTCACTTACAACTAAGCTAATCAATCACTAAAGTAATAATCAATCCAATTAAAGTAAGCTTTATCACTGCTCAGACACAGTTCGTTTACAAACAATTTCCATTAAGTAACTAAAGCTATGCAAATCTAGAATAACGATTATAAAATTAATGCAAATGAAATAATTAATCTTATCAGCATAGTTTTAAAAGCTTTTCCAAACCTGAATGGAAATAGTAATTGCCATTGCATTTAACTAGGCAAAGGTCATATATGCATATATAGTCATCATGGGAAATTTGAAAAAAAATGTTAATTGAAAAGCCTTTTGGTTCTGGTAATATTCACCTGCGTCAAGACAGCGGCTCTTTCCAATTACATCCGAATTATTTATGCGGCCAATACCTGAATGCCGATATCTAGCGGCATTTATCATGGCTGACAGTTGGGACGGCGTTTGGCTTCAACGCCGAGATCTCAGAAATCGCAGAAATCACCAAATCGCCGCCAGCAGCGGTCAGCGCATAAATTCACCAACAAACTCAATCAAAAAGGCGAGCTTACAGCCAGCCTAGCTCATTTTTTAACTGTAAGCTAAAGGGTACAGGTGAGACTAGGTAAGGTGAAATATTAGAATACTAAAGTTAAGAGCCTTAAGTATCAGAAATTCAATTTTTAAAAGTTTATTTAGAAAACAGGATTACACCAGCAATTAAATAAAATAAAAAAGGCTTTAAATTTAAATATTTGAATAAGTTTGTGAAACTCTTCTAAACCTCGAAAAAGGTTTTCTAATTTGGGGTTCTTACTAAGTTTAAGGATTCTGAAATGAGAAGTAAATGCATCTGGAAAAAGTGTTTGGATAATATATTTTGATTACAATTCACTAACATTTTTCAACACAATTTTATTTCAACACCAACACTAATAGATAATCTTTAGATTTAGATCATATTCCTTTTATAGATACTCTCCTGTCTATGTGTATTTCTGTAACCAATTTTGTCGTGAATGCAAATTTTGTGTACACTTTTAATTAACGTTAAAGGTTGTTTACAGTCGTTGTTGGTGTTGTTGTGGTTGTTGTTGGTGTTGCTTGGCGGCGGAGTTTTTCCAGCACTTATTTGACTTTGAGACCGAAGGCCTGCTGGCGTTTCCCGCATTTCGTTGGCGCTTTGCCTGTTTACTGATTAGCGAAAAAAAAATACAAAAAACACTAGTAAAATAATAGACAGAAAAGTCAAGAAATCTTATATTGAATCACGAAATCGGGCGGCAAACGAACCCGCTGCCGAACCCGTACTCCATATACATATAATTTGCTTAATGTTTACTTATGCTAATCGGGGACATTAATCAGACTTGTTAACAACATTGAGCACGAGTCGCAGGAGGGGTCGTCCCCGTCTCCATCTGAGCAAATGCCAAACAAATCAACACTCGCACCGAAATTACTTCATTTTCGTAACTTAAATTGATGGATTATTAAATAAGAGAGAAAAAATGTTCAAAAGATTACAAAGCCTTTCAATACAATAAGCTGCGATGCCCAATGGGAAATTTAGATGGTTATTTATTTTATTTAAAAATGTTGAATTACGGAAACTACCAAAAGACAAATATAAATATTTATTATATTTATTTTGCTGATAATTTAAATATTTAATTAATTATAGGTATATATTCTGTGGCTATTGACACCCCTGAAGCGTATTATAGTTTAAGTCAGCTGCATTTCTTTTAGTAATTTTAGAAATATTTTATAAATTGTATTTATTCGGTTTTTTAATACATTTTAATTAAACTATTAACCAATTTTGGTAACAAGCTCAAAGGGCTGTAAATTTCCACATGGGTACCCTTTTAACGCACGTGCCGAAACAGCAACAACATAAAGCTTCATCTGCAGTACAATAACAACAATAGCAGCAGCGAAGCATAGTGCAAAGCGAAATGCAGCCAAACAAATAATAATAAAAAAAAACAACACCAACACAAAAGAAAGTTGAACAAAACACAAACAACAATGGCTCCAAGATAAAAGGGCATTTTGTAGGAGTCAAAGGGGGGTTATATCAAAGCCGACGCACTTTTCGCTTTTGAAACAACTTAAGCGGAACCAGTTTTCAAAAAAAAAGAAGAGAAAAATAAAATAGAGTTTTTAAACTGATGAAATACCCATGATTTTTCCAATTTACGCCTCTCGTATTACATGTGCATCCCCCTTCCAATGGGGAACTTCATTTCTTTGGGTGGCACTACTCTTAGCTTTTAAATTTCAAATAAAATTACTAAGAACTCAAGAAGAATGTGAGTTGTTAATACTTAATTTGTTAAGTTCTGTTTTAATTTAATAAAATTTAAAAAATCAGTTAAAATTATGTACAATTTCTTAAAATAATTATAGCTCTTTGTTCTTCTTTAAATGCCTAAGTTTTTATTATTCTTAGTACACTTAGGTCCACCCTAAAGCCCTTTGGCTCGTTAAGCAACAACAATTTTGGGGGGCCAGCATCTGCGGAGGCGGTGAAAGGAGGTGGAGCAGAAAGTCAGAGAGAGAGAGAGAGAGGAAAGAGTAACTACTGGAGATGCGAAGAGTTCGAGGAATAGGTAAAAGTGTCGAAAGCGTAAACAAATATTACACATTTAATTATGACAAGGTGACTCGGCTACGCCTCTGCTTTACCTTTAACACACCACCTGACCCTGCCCCCTCTCCATCCCACAGCTTACAGGGAAATTCAACTGGGAAAATTCATTTGAAATTTTATTCGGTTGTTTGGCCCGCTGACTTCTGCCTGACACTAATGCCTTTAATGATCCATGTTGTCGCTCAAAAAACCTGAAGGAGTGTCATTGGACTCCCATTGTTTTTTGGTGACTGGCTAAACGTGGACTCTCCATGGGAAATGATTACGTGATTAAGTTGGCCAACACAAGATCAGAGGAGCGGAAAATGTCAGTTATTAAATGAAATATAAAGATGTTTAGTAATTATTTTGTAATTTTTGCAAATTGAAGTTGGTGAACGGTGAGAATTTATTTGGGGATTCCTCACTATATTTATGAATATAAGTATTCAATCAATTCAACCTTTAGCAACTTTTGTATACCAAAAGAAAGAAAAAAGTACACTTAATTTTCTAGAAAATAAATACCCTGCAAGTTTATAATAATCTCGATAAATATTGATTCAATGAATGCGTATCTGGTTCTTTAATATTTGCATAACTATATTTATTTATAAAAAACAAACTGAACAATTAAATCATTATCAAATACCTTAAGACATTTAAAATTAATAAACCAGAAATGAATAAGTTCTACATGGAAAATGGTAGGCCTTACAGAATATCTAAATTTTGAATAGATTTCCCTATTCTAATTATTTTCCTCTTTTTCATTTACACTAATCTGCTGCAATTCCCGAGTCTTGACATACGGCATCCGGGGCCAGGCCCAAGTCGTTGGCATCGAGGACTCATAGTTGTAGTTATAGAGATTCGATTCCAGCCACTTGCGTTTATCCTGCGGCTCCGGATAGGTGGAACCCAAACCTCTGTCGTAGGCACATTGGGTCACCGCAATGGCTATGTTCATGGACACATCCCGAATCGTATTTAGAGGAGGATATAGCGACCCGCGTTCAATGTCACTAATCTGCACAAATTTGGCCAATTCCTGGGCAGCAATAAGGAACATTTCTTCGGGTATGTGATGGGTGCCAGTACAAATCACACTCAAGGCAATGCCCGGAAAGATGTACGCATTGTTACCCTGTCCGGGATGGAAGGTCTTCTCACCCATTGTGACCGGTGGAAAGGGTGAGCCCGACGAGAAGATCACACGACCATCCGTATGCTTATAGGCATCTTCGGCAGTGCACTCCGCCTTGATGTTCGGATTGGATAAGGCAAATATCACTGGCCTCTCGTTATTATCCGCCATCATACGTAAGATCTCCGGCGTAAAGATACCTCCAGTGGCCGATGCACCTATGAGGATACTCGGCTTGAGTACACCCACAATTTCGGCAAGACTCGACATGGGCGGCATGTCCTTGACATACTTTACAGCCTGATGGGCATCCAGATTGCGAGACGTGGTTAGCAAACCTTGGTCATCCACCATGAAGATCTGGTTGTAGGCTTCCTCAATGTGTAGACCATCCAGTACCATGGCCTTAACCGTGAGATCAGCAATGCCAATGGCAGCACCACCGGAACCAGCAAATAGGAAAATGTTGTCCTGCAAGGACTTTTGTGTCAAACGCTGGGAGGCATAAAATCCTGCCACAGCAACGCCAGCAGTTCCCTGGATATCATCATTAAAGGTACAATAATTATTGCGATATTTTTCCAGAAAGCGAAAAGCATTATGATTTCCAAAGTCCTCGAATTGGATGAGTGTATTTTGTCCATATCGTCGCACCACAGCCTCCATGAACTCATCTATAAAGTCATCATACTCCTGTCCAACCACTCGCTTCTGGCGCAAACCTATATAGAGGGGATCCTCCAGCAGATTGATATTATTGGTACCCACATCCACCATGATGGGCAGGCACTGATGCGGCTTGATCCCAGCCAGAGCCGTGTATAAGGCCATCTTGCCCACGGGAATGCCCATGCCATTGGCTCCCAAATCTCCCAGTCCCAGGATTCGCTCACCATCCGTCACACAAATTGCACGAACATCCGACTCTGGCCAGTTTTTGATCACATCGAAGACATGTCCCCGATCATTGTAGGTCACAAAGAGGCCATGAGGACGTCGATAGATTAGGCCAAAACGTTGGCAAGCCAAACCCACCGTTGGGGTGTACACAATGGGCATCAAATCTTCGATATTCTCCGAGAGGAAGCGAAAGAACAGCCGCTCATTGCGATCGTGGAGGTCGCTCAGGTAAAGATACTTATTCAGCGGATTCTCATACCTATTCACAGAGATCTCGCAGAGCTTCAGTTGCTCCTCCTGGGACTTGCAGCGGGCGGGCTGGAGACCATGGATACCCAGCGTCTGTCGCTCCTCCAAGGTGAAGGCCAGACCCTTGTTGAGACGAGGATCGCGAAGGTGATCGATGCCACGCACCTGCGAGGGAGTGATAATGTCACCAGTTACCTCGTGGTAAGGTCGAATGGCTAGCAACGTGCCACAGCGGCTTTGGAAGAGTTTGGTAGTAAATCTGCACAAGGTTGATTGTAAAAACATTTTGTAGTTCCTGGAAATGTTTTCTTATTGAAGTAAGAGTTTTAGATTTTAGCTCAGAGCTGTCTTTGACTATTTGGGGCTAATAATTTATTTAGGGATTATGTTTAATATAAAATTCAGGGGTTACTTGGAAACATACAAACTAGCATTTGTATATAACATTTTCACATAATGATGGGGTATATATACCTTCCATTAAACATAATTCCAAGATTAGCCCAAGGATAAATATCGAATCCAGCACCTTTCTCATAATTAATATTTCTGTTACTATATTTTCGATTTAATTCTTTATTTCTCTGTTAATTTTGTTCAATTGCATTACTTGGCATTTGGTTTTGATTCAGGTTCCTGAGAGTTGTCTGTAAATCCTGGTTGAGACTCCTTTGTACAATACTCAGTTCCAAGTAGCACTTGACATAGTCCTCCGAAGTGGTAGCCAGCATTCTGACCAGATTCTCTCGCACCACACGTACTGTGCTTAGTTGATAGACATTCTTGGAGGACACCATACAGGGTAGATCCTCGTCTCGACCCTCGAGGAGCTTCAGACGTCCGCCCATATCCAAGAAGCGAGTCTTCAGAAACTTCTTTTTGTAGATCAATTGTCGTTCACGTTTTCGCAGTTTCCTCAGGTAGCTAACTACCTCCTCGGGAATGCTGAGGATGTCATTGTCCTGGTTCATTTTTGGGACACAATTTGTGAATTTAGCCTACAACCGAGAAAATGTTTAGATATTATTGCAGTGGCAATCTAGGCAAATGTATCTAAGTTTCGAGTCGGATTTACTTTAATTAAAATATAATATTTCACTGCATTTTTTTATTAACATATTCTTCTCAAAGGTAAACCCAAAATTGAATAAGACAATGCCAAATCAATTAACAACATTTACAAAAAAAGACTTCTTTTATTTACAAATTTGTGACATTTGTGAGCCTCTGTAAAATATTGTAATAGATTCATATTTTTTTGTTTCTTCTTCACACCTCTGAAACTAAGGTTCAGTCACTATTATGATTTCATCGATGCGAAACAAAAGAGTATCCATAAGATACAATGGCAATGCTAATCACATTAATAAATTATCCGCACCTCCGGTTGGAGACTCACTCTCGCATCTATCTAAGTATCTATTCCGATTCCGATCGTGTGTTCGTGTAAATGAAATATTCTATTGGCTAAATTGTTTTTTGCTTAATTCATGACTGGACATTTGCAGTGGCTAAACATTAATTTTTTGTGCTACCCCTTGGACTGACCCCCCTCTGTACCACGATTTATTCAAATTATTTTTAATGGCCTTTTGTTGTTGACTCTGTCACTGTGCTAAATGGCAATACAAATTCCTTGAGTTTATTGGAATTTTTTATTAATATTCTATGAACATTTGTGAATTAGTTGGAATTGGTTGATTGAAAGAGGTAGAGAAAGAGGAGGGGGTTTTATTTTATTTTTATTAATTAATTTGCAAACGTACTGTAAGATTTTAAAGATATTTACATGTTTAAAATGGAAAATGGTGGAATTGGAAATTGATCATAACTAAGTCAAAAATTCAGTAATTTCATTTTTGGTATGTTCTAATTTTTATTAAGGTAATTTATCTGGATTTTAACTCCTCCTTGATTATAACTATAATACCTTCTGAAAGTGTATAAAAAAGAGCTTCAAATCCCAAGTGTTTCCCCAAAAAACTTCAATGGAATTACGCTTGAACTTGTTTTTTTTTTTGTGTGAAACAAGTTCTCCTGCTCTCCGATTTCACATTTAAGACCACACGCGTCTTGGGTGCCATTTATGAGCATTTAATCCTTTTGGGCAGCCCAACAATAGCCAAAAGGCCCCTCAGCGAGAGAAAATAACTACATCAAGCGGAAACCGAAAAAAAGGGAGTGTATTTGTGGCAGGGGACAAAACTCGGGTTGATTTATATGATCGCAGGGCGATTCATATTTCTATGGCTTTCACTGTCGACTGAATATACACCCACAGCACTTTGAGGAAATTAAGACCGAAATGAAGACATTCAAAGTGTGAGGCAAGGTGTGCCAAATGAATCCAATGGACATAAAAATATGTAAATTTTTCAGTGGCTTCTGGCTTAGGACACACCTCTTTTTTCAAGGGTGTCTCCTTAATTTTCATCTTGACCTCACAATTAGTTGCAATTGTTAAATCTCTGATTTGTTCACAAAAGTTTTCTATTTACTTTTGACACATTTGTATGGCTCTTCAAGAAATAAAGAAATTTCTCCAATTTCATTGTACTTGTAAGGAGAGAAATAAAAAAAGAGCAAAACCTTCACCGTGTGTGGCCTTTGCTTTTCTTGTAAAAAAAGGGCAAAACCTTTACAGAACAACTTGCCTTCTCTTTTTCCAAGTTGTACTTGTTGTACTTTTTTGTGTGTTTTTTTACAACTAAGCTATAAAGAAAAAAATGTAAGAAAGCCTTGTAAAAGTCTGGCTACTGTTTAACCGGTTGTTTGGTCTGGCTAAAAATGCTAAAATCTGGCACAAATCTATTACCCAGGCTGTCAAATAAAATATACTATAATGGGAGCTGCAGTGTTAAGTTTTTTAAAGAAAAAAATGTACACAGAACTTGGCCTAAAATGGTGAAGTTTGAGTACTTTCCATTGGAGTACAGTTTATTTTTAAGTTCCTTGATTAGTGAACTTGCTTTACTTTAAGTCCCTTATTTTATACATTTTTTATCGATCAATAACTTAAATATGAATACCCAAATAATAAAGAAAAGAGTTCGTAAATTTTACAACCTAACTCTTAAGAAATTGTAAATAAAATATGATATTTTATTTGATGCTTGTTCCACTTGAACAAGCATAGGGACAAATACTTTAAAATGCTTTTTTCTGTGGCCTAGACAATTGCCTCATTCAACACTTGAGATCATTTAATTCGCACTCAAAATGAGATATGAATTTCAAGCTAATTTTCATTGTAATGCTGTCTGTCGTGGAGAAACAGTGAAGTGAGACCATTAAGGCGACGCGACATTTGCAGTTTTCATACACACTCAGACTTTAAGTATAATAAACACATATTGCATAGGCCTTAATTTGACAACTGAGAGGCATGAAATGACACCAGACAGGCCACTCATTAATCTGTCTAAATAAAGAACGTTCCGAGCGAAATCAAGAAACATTTTGATGCTAAAGTTTTGGGGGCAAAAGTTGTAAATTGATTTGCCACCAAATATGGCAGACAGCTTCGCTCTAAATTTCTTGTTATTTTTACGAAAAATTCGCCAGAGCAAACACAACAAATAAAAATCATTCATGGATCTCTCATTCGGGTAATAAATCTAGGAGATGTATTTCCATTTTTGGAGGGAGAGTTCCGACTTCAAATTCAGATTCCGATTCCGATTCAAAGTGTGTTCAAAACTGCTCCAAAGTGTCCGAAATGTTTTTCCTTTTGGCGCGCAGCATGATCGGAATATATAATTCACTAACTGAGATCATTAGGAGCCACAGCAGGTGGAATTCGTCGAACTGAATGTTTTCATAAATAACAAATGCTAAGGCGCAAAATTTCCATAAATATAACCACTCTCCGCCCCTCCCTCTGGCTACCAGTCCGGTAGGAATTGTGTTAAAACTTATTAATTTACATTGGCAGTTGCAGGGAGGGGGGTGAATTGACAAAACACCAAAGATTATAATAAATTTGTTTTATTGCAATAAATCGAGATTTAAATGAAATCACAGGTTTAGCAGTTTAATTTGGGATTTTTGTGGGGCTTTTGTAGATTTAATAAGGGGAATTCTGTTTACATTTATATTTATTTTAGGAAATTCGAGTAAGTTTTTATTATTTATAAATTAAAATTGTTTAAATTGTTTACAAATTATATATTTTTTAATATTACAAGCTCTAGAATGTCTTCTTTGGCAACATTAATGTGTTGCTCAACATGATCCTTGCAACATTTGTTGAGCAATAGTTTGTAGGACATTCCGCCATGTCAAATGTAAGTTTTATTGGAAAACATAGTTAAGATACTTGGAAGTTTTTCCCATTAAATTAAAAACATATGAAAAAGTTTTTATTTATTTTATTACTATTATTTTGATTAATTACCATTTATAGCTTTCGTTTTCTATTAATTTATAAATAAATTATAAAAACCAGTAAAAATTTGCTTAAAAAAATACCTGAATACCCCCAATGACCAATATCATTCGTTATTTATTCGCTTAATTTCGATGTTAAACGTCCAACGAAACACAAATTAATGGCTGAGCTTTTAAGATGGTTATTTCGATCACCTGGCTCTGGGGGCCCCCCTATATTACCATATTTGGTTTATTTATTTATTTTCGACACATTATTTGTAGCGAGACTTGAAATATTTACACAATTTCCAAATGAAAAATGTAATTCCAATTTAAATAAAAACGTTTTCAAAGTTGCCGCTGGAGCATTGAGCTCGAACTGAAAATTATATTTATTTTTTTGGGTGACCCCTTGGCTTATCGCCTCGTGCGATGTCATAAATTTATTTGAAATGTTGCGTGGCTTGAGCTTGAACCTATTACTTATTATTGATAAACAATAAATGGCAGCAGCAGCTGATTTAATTTTAAATTTCGATTCGAGTCGCTCTTGCAATTGGAATTCTTTTTACTGTGTTAGAATTTATATTTTGGCCACTAATATTTTATGGTCGTTTTATTGGGGGAAACCAATAAAAGAGATTTCTCTACATATTTTTATGATGTTTCTTGGATCGTTTGGAAAGTTGTTTAGCATATACCTCGATTTGGTTTTCCATCTTTCACTGCCTTGCCCCCTGTCAGTTTTTAATCACCCCAAAATTAAGCATGCAACACCAACGCACTTTAATTGTTTGCCAACGAGACAACAATTTATGACTCGCCTTGTGTCCCCGATCCAAATCGAAATGCACTCGAAGCACTCTGATTCGATTCGATTCGATTCGATTCCATTCCCATATCCCCTTCATTGGCTTCAATTCTATTTAAAGGCCTTTTCAATTTGCAAGCCCAATCGATGATCATCAGCGTTCTTGATTGGGTCCAGACGTTGCTCTATATATTATATTTTCTGCACTCTTTGATTCAGTTTTGAGTTTTGTTTTCTTTATAAATTTATTGGACGATCTTTATAGTTTAGTTGTGGAAAGTCTGGACTTCATGGGGAGCCTTTTTTATGCTCTAAAAGTTTATTTATTTTTGGCTTTCTAAACTAGTAACAAAGATTTTCTTTTACTACTAATGGGTTATCAAAGTTAGATCAGATTACTGGCTAGAATTAAATAAAATGCCTGTATTTTTGAGAACAATGAATGTTTTCTTTTTACGTTTTTAGAGTATTTTGAAAGGCATTCATTGCATGAACTGAAAGAAAATATCATATAAATAGTTTTATAATATTATATTTCGATACATTGAAATATTTATTTAAACTTTTAACTATGCAATTCTATTATTATTATGAATTACTTTATCTCTATCTATATTTCTTGTTATAGTGTTATATTTTAATAATAATCTATAATAGGGAACTCTAATTTTTTCTTGTGCATTAACCATACTTCAAACCCTTTTCTTATCTCCTGTCAAAGCATTAATAATTCTTTTTTTTTGGTTCAAATAAATGACATATTCAAATATTGACACAAGACCCAACTGAACCAACTGACTGTTGTCCAATCTCTCCCCCATTTCGAAAACCATCCCTATCTGAACCCACAAAACTCAGCTAAATGAAACCCTTTTGTGGGCTAATAACATTATTGACAGGTGAAAACCATAAACTGCCCCGGAAGAAGACAGGAAGTCGGGGGACACTCGGAATATTACCCACGATAAGAACGCACTTCCCTTTTCAATATACAGTATACAGTTTTTTTGGCAATGTGACTCACAGTAGCTGGCCAAGAGATTTGGTAACAAAGGTAAGGCACTACCTGACTCTGCCACATTATCATTACAATTGTCAGCTGTAAATTATCAGGGTTTCCTCGGGGAACTATCGTTTCGGTTTTGTGATACCAACCCAAAATTAGCATATTTGGCCACTGTGAACCTTGTGGGCCAAGTCAAGAGAGACAAGAAACCAAGCCTGACAATGTCTTAGGTAGCCGTAAATTGTTTTGGGCCTATGCTAATGTCGATCGTTGTCTGCCCACACTTAACTCCCGGATCGGATGGGATTGTGTCCGAGGGACTCGTGTTTATGTATCCCTTGGATTCGTGCTGTGGCATAAACAAAACCTATAGAGGATCGTGTTGCAGTTGCAGCATTGACTCAGACGGTCCATTTGATGGTTGTATTTGTTCTAGGTACCAGCTGTGTTTTCACACTCACTCTCGAAGTCAAGGTTGACAATGAATGTGTATAGCCCAGCTTGGGATGCTGCGGGAAATTGTTAAACAAAAGGCGATGGCAGTTAAAAACTTCTGTAATAAAAGCGAAACCTTGGTCAGAAATTTAAGGTGAAAAATAAAACAACAAATCTTTAAGCAAAGAATAAGTGAAACTAATCTGAAGGTAACTTTTTTTATAGGTGTTGTAATACCTTTCAGAAGAACATTAAGATTTATTCTATAGGTTCCCTAAACCAATTACATTTTATAAGGGTATATAAAATCTGAGTGGTAAATCTTTGGCACTGTTTACTAAATGCTATATGTTCCATAATTGAGTCAACAAATAATACCTCTTTATGTTGATCATATTATCAAACTAATGGTATTCATAAAACTAATCTCTCATGGTTTTCGACCTCTTAAATCTAGCTTATCAGCTTCTAACAACATTTTGGGATACTCTACATTCAAAATATTATTTTTCCAGCCGAAATAAGATCTTCTACTATTTTTTTCTGGCATTTCTATAATTATTTTTTAATTTTTTGCTGATGAACCTTAATCCCCAAGGGCTCTAGCGATAGGATCGGTCAGTCGCTGGTCTGATGGTAGATCACGTGTCCTCGAACCGCGACGTCTGCAATACTAATGTCAATTTGTCAGGCTACCAAATCGAGGCACACAGAGCAAGTGCCCCGGCACACCCTCCTCCTCCTTCTGCCTGGTCGTTCTGACTCTTCCCGGAGCTATATAGCTACAGATCCCGGAGATTCTGAAGAGTCTTTGTCGTTGTCGCATGATATATGAGTGCCCTGCCCAAGTTGCTTCTGCCTCAACAGCGGCCTGTTGCTGCCGTAACCGCGCCTCTTAAGAATCAAAGATACACTGAGATAATATTATTAATATAATATATTTTTAATATAAGGTTTTCTATAATCTAAACCTTCACGAATATATTGTTACTATTGTATATTAATTTATAACAAATAGGAGAAGTATGATCAATGATCATCTTCAATGAACTCAGAAAGGAACCTTGCATCTATCTATTACTATATTTCCTAACTGGTTCTTGTAATGGAAACCTACATTTATTTACTAAAACAATTTACTAAACATATAACAAAAACAATATCTTTTAAGCTTTCTTAACGTAAATGATTTTTAGTAATAAAAATTTCAAGAATTAGGCTACCTATATATTATATTAAAATCATAAGATAGTAAATGTATCCTATTTTATTTTTGGATTTTACTTTTCTACATGTAACTGATGCTAATATTACCTTATTTTTTAAATATTTTCTTTACAACCTTTACTTCATTTGAGCAGTTTTTACTAAAATCATTTATAAAATCATATCTTTTGTTATTCCCTTTGAAGTCTTTTAAACAGGCTTTCACTAATATCATTCTGTATTTCGTACCTTTCGTTATCTTTGAGTTGTTAAGATATATAAAATATTGAAAATTTTCTCCCAGTGCATATTCCAAGCCCAAGCCGATGTTGAGCCGAAGTCGAGGCCGCTGCCGAAGCCGGTTCTCCTCATGAAGAGCGCTGCCACTGCGATGTGGGCAGCGATTGCGCGTCGGCGTTTTAGCCTGTTCTCAGCTCTACTCTTTGCTCTCCCATTTGCTGTTTGTTTTGTGCTTGTGCTTCGTTTTTACGTTTTTTGCTTTCGCTCCATTCGTCGCTCCGTAACGACACACACTCTTGGTGCTATATCGGATCGGCTGACTGTTTAGTTTGTTGTGACTCTCAGAGCGGTTAACTTGGTCGATCCGGCGGGCATGCGCGACTCTGCTATATCTGAATCTGAAGAATTGTAAGAGGAGGAAACCGAGGCAGAAGAAAATACAAAAAAAAAACCCGTCTCTCGCGCTATATTCGTCGTCATTGTTGTTGTTGCTTGGCTTGGTGTCTATCTCTGTGCCTTTTGTCAATGTTTTTTAAGCCAAACTCCAGACGGAAGGCGAAATTTTAATTTTCCACTGAAAATTTCCCAAAACAAATCTAAAAATATCTGAAACAAAAATCTTAAACAAAAATTTCACACAAAAAATTGATTCAATATTGTGTTGTGCTGTGAAAAGTGAAAAATCGGAGATCTATAAAGATCATCTAAAAAAAGAGTATTAAAACACGCGCTATTATCGATCTGGTTTCTTATCAAGCACATGCTTATATTATACAATTTACCAACAGTCTTTTACAATCTGCTTACCACAAAAGTTGAATGGAATAAATTTTAATCTACTTTTTTTGCACGCTACGTGACACTAAATGAAGTAAGTTTCCAACAATCTGTTCTGTAATCGGCATTTTTAACTGTTTACATTTTTTTTATTGAAAATATATATAGTATTTACGTTTTGAGGAAGTGTAAAATGTTTCACGAACAATACGACAATATTACATTGAGAGTGTGATTAAAAATTTATAAAGCTCTGATAACAAATACATTTTTTTATTAAGTAGGAAGAGTGGTTATTGTGACTGATAATGTTGAGAATTGGAGGAAGTTGAATAAATGTAAATAATTAAATAAAATTTAAATTAATGCTATATAATTTAAATCCAATCAAATCAATGTAATCAATTTCTTTAAGTACAATTAGAATACTTTTCAGTTACCTCGCCAGTCATTGTTTGTGTATTTTATATTGTATTTATTCGTTTTAGTAAAGTTTCTTATTTATATTAAATTTGATGTTTAAGTAGAAAATAAAAGTGAAAAATGTAAATAATTTCATTAAATTATAAATTGTAGATGTTTTAGTAGCCTCGTAATGAATTTTAGATTTTAAAGGCATATCTAAATATATACTACTCTTGGCTTATTGTCATCACGACTCCTTCAAAAATTTGCTATCTAGGGACTTTTAATCTATATTTTTGTATAATAAGTTTTGAATTTAAAAAAATAGTTATAAATGGAAGAGATAACTTAGGAAAAACAGCATTATTTTCAATTCATTAAGCTTTGCTCTCCAGTTCTTTATTCGATTTATAAAACTGCATATTGCTTTAAAGATCTTTAAGAAACTTCATTTTGTTGTCAACACATTCTAAAGATAAAATAACTAATTTCCCGAACTTCAAAAGTTTTCATTAACTTTCATTAATTTCTCTATAATATATTTTCTACAAAATATTAAAGTTAACCCATATTTTTCTACCTTTCCAGCATGTTAATATTAAAACTACCTAAAATGTTTAGCCAACTTTGGCTTCTATTGCTTCTGTCACTCTTAACCCTACAAGGCCCACAGCCAACGGCTGGAAGTGGTTACAAGACGTCATCGAATGTGGAATTGCTGGAGAACGATTCGCGATATATCTCATATCAAGGTGAGTTTCTGGGGCGGAGGATTATCAAAAATAAAATTACATGAAAACCGTGTCAATTGCAAGGCAATCAATCAAGTCAAACCCACCTGAGGAAAACTGTAAACTGTAAAAGCCATAAATTGGGTTGATGTCTGTCAGAACTTCAAGTGACTCTCAGAGTCTGCACTCGATTACGAAAGGGAGAGTGGCCAACAGGTGCCATTTCACCCACCCAACCACTATATATTTTTTATATTTTTTGTCTTATTTGCTTGTCAACAAAAGAGTTCCCCAGCCCCAACCAGTCGCATTTATGACACCTCTATAAATCCGAGTATCTCCGGGTTTTTAATCAGAAATCGCTTCGTGTTTTGCATTTTGTTTAAATATTTGTTATTTTTTCTCTGGCTTTGCAAACGGAATGTATCTTCAAGTTGGACACGAAATGCGAACTCAGCTTGAGATTTCTGTTGACAATGATTTTAATTTTTGTTTAGGGTTTTCTCCACCACAAGTTAAATATTTAAAAATTCCAAGGAAAATGATGGAAGAGAGAGCCCTTCAGAAAAAAACACTTGAATATTAAAGTTTTTACTGAAATTGTGAGAGAGAAAGGTTAAATGTAAAAATATTAATTTTATTTATTTCTTTTCAGATTTAATGTCAACTGCCAAACGATATTACGATCCCGAAACGAGCTGGTATTCGGAAATGCTTTTTGATGTGGCCAGGAATCAAGTGATTGTCGGCGCCAGGTAAGAACCAGGAGCCTTTTTAACTTATGTTATTAGCCTTGTTATTATGGGTTTTGGTTTCCGGTTAATATTGAGTCACGGTTAAGTCGTGCACGTAGTCATTCTGACTGTTCTTTTGCGCCAAAGACCCAAAAGATTATAATTATTATTTTGTGTAGACTCACTTTTAATTAGTAGCACCGATAAGTGGGTCATTATTTTCAAAAGTAGATAGCGATACGGGAAAACACCCCCCAAAAAATAAATCTTCTTGGACGTACGTATGTAGGGGGGTTATCAGGCATTACGTAAAATTCAGGGAACCAGAGAAAATAAACAGATGCATTGCGTACGTAAAATTCTGGCTGATAATGTTCTTTTTTGGTGTGTTTTTTAATGACGCAAGTTTAATTTTACAAAACACGTATAAAAATGAAAGTGCATGCTTTACATTAACCAAAAAATCGCTTTTATATCAGCAAAGTTTGAATAAAAAAACCCTCTCCAAAAGAACCTTATCTCAAGTACCTGCTCTGGCCAAAGGGAATAAATAAAGATAATTGAGTGTAAAAATAAAAATAAAAATTAAGGGAAAAACGCTAAGGTAACCGAAAAAAAAGAAAAATATAGCAGGGCAAAGAAAGAGCTAAAGATTATGTGTGTGTACTCCACTTATTTGTTGAGCAATTTAATATACGAGTATACGAGTATACTCATACTCGTACTCGCACTCGTACTCATTCTCCTACTCATTCTCGTATCTGTATCTTGTAGTTTGTTTTTCATTTACGCGCTGAGGTACCCGAGGCTTGAAGTCTATTTGTTTTTTGCCTCGCATAGATGCGACACTTCTTCCAGTGGAAGTCCCGCGATAAGATACTCTTTTGGACACAGATGTCTATAGTGTCGTCATATTGATAAACTCACCAATACTTATAGAGGGAAAGGTATACCTTAACCCATTGGTGTAGGAAAGTCATTTATCAAGCCCGTTTGTCGTCAATCATTTGTCAGACATTTTCAGTATCTTTTCCCCTATACTTACTCTCTTATTTTTACATTTTTTTTTAAAACTCTTATTTACTAGGTTCTCTGAATTATGGTTATGGCGATAAGGTTTCGATATAAAAAAAAAGATGCCTGCGAAGGGCAGTTGCTCCAAATAGAGACCAAAAAAGTAGGTGGGCAGATAGGCAAGTGGGCTTTATTAAACCACATAAAATGTAATTTATTTTTATTATGTGTAGGCTTACTCGATAAAGCCAACTAATCAAAAGGGCCTAGACGGGTTTTAGATTGCAGCTGCCGGGGGGATTGTCTTTTTTTTTCGTTTGAAGATAGTAGAAGTTTTGCTTTGTGAAAGTTAATGAAGATTTGTGGGTTTTTTGAACTATAAAGATTGGTGTATCTAAGGGTATATATGTTTGATAAAAAGTAATAAATGAATCAATCAGTAAGAGCGGTAAAAAATAACCATATAAGATATCAATTCTTGGAAAAAGAATATATACTTTTTAATATTATATTATTTGATCACCTAGATCCTTAATCAAAGAACCTGACATAATTATAAATTAAATATTACCAAAGCAAGAACCCAAATTTAGACAGCATAAAAGGCCTTCGAGTATTAAGATTTATATTTATTACAAAATGTGTCAAGCTGGATAGTCCTCTATTATGATGTACACTCAAAGATTAATACAATCTTGAATCAGACACTATATTTTGTACAAGATAAGCCCAACCAACAAACCACCTAGTTCTAATCTCTCTAGCAAAACCACCTAAGGTTAACAATCATCCTTTGCCAGTGCGGTTTTGATAAGGCTTCGCCTCAAAGATATATATAAAAATATATATAGGTACATATGTTAGAAGACCTGCAAGTACCCCTAAGTAAGCCACCGGAATGACCCTCGGAGTTTTGCTGCCACGTAAAAACCATCTCTAATCGCAGACCGCATTTTAATTGCGGCTCGAACGAACAGTATCTAAACTAGTTGTACAATTGTTTTATGATTTCTGCGGTTCAGATGGGCAATTGCCCCGGTATCGCATCGTAGTATCTGTGTGCGAGTCTGTCGTGCACGGATGTGTTGGTGAGCGAGTGCATGCTCCTTGTGAAGTATCTGGATCTGGACTGCAGCACACTTGACACGACTGCAAGATCGGATTACGGGCCAGCCGCCTGTTGACGAGGTCTGGAAATGGGAATGGGAATGGGAATGGAAGCGGGAGTGGAATGGGAATGGAAACGGGAGTGGAATGGGAATGGAATCGGGACTGGAAGGGGATATGGGACTCCGACGATGTTCCATGACGAGTGACGAGGCAACTTGGTCAGGAGCAAGAGAGTACACTGAAGAAATAATTATATTAGAGTCAATATTTGGTTCATTTTGAAAGTTAATTTTCAAATGTTAATATTTTAAATTAATTTGAAAATATTCTTTGAATTAGTATTGTTTATATGTGCAATTTTTGGTAAATTATAAAACTTTTAGATATTATTTATATTCAAAATCTAGTGCAGGGTATTATAATTTTAGTCCGAAACTTTTAACACAGTGAAGAAATCATTTACGACCCTATAAATCATATATATTCTTGATCAGCATAAACAGTCGAGGCGATCTAGCCATGTCGGGTCATAAAATAAATGTTTGAACATTTTACAAAATTTAAAAAAAAAAGATAAGGGGTTACATCGATAAAATTTTGTAAAATTGACAACATTTTAAATTTTTTTATATTTTAAATATAGTATTAGGATTTATTAACTTCATAAAAACTAGCACAGAAAAGTCTTCTAAATTAAAATTAATTTTGACTTAGTTATGAGATTTCGAATCTTTGATTTGTCCAAGAAAATGTCATAAAATACTGATAAATGTTGATGACAAGAATGCAAGCTTACTTATGAACGATTTCCGATTCGATCCTTTAATTCCATAGCAAACTTCAAGGGTATCCTAACTTCGGCTACCTTCTTTCTTTTGTTGGTTGCAACTGGCCGAAATTTGATATAGACTGCATTAAAATAATATTTCGTTTTGTTTTCGCTTTCGTTCGCCTGCGAGTGGCAACCTTTATTGTGAGCTCCTGCAGTTCCAGTACTTGAAGATATATACAAAAATATATATATATATTTATAAATATATATACTACATAATGCTGGCATTATTTTGCTTTTGAGGGGTCGCTTAAGCGCTGCTTTTCGTATTGCGGCTTGTCGCAAATGGAGCATGCAAATGACCTGCTGGGAAGCATTTCAAATGTTTATACAAATGGCTCAACGAGATGTTATATAAACAAGGAAATTATTTTCGTGTGTTAAGCATTAAACATAATATTATTTTTTCCACTCGAATATCAGTGGGGTGACTTTCATGGGAAACAATGGTTCCAGAAATGGGATACTAAAGGGTATAGAAAAAATAAATAAATGCATAAAGTTACAAGGATGTTTATGGATTTTTCAAAAAAGATAGAAAATATTTTTTATGATAATAAATCATATTTAGCATTGGCTTAGAACCACCCAAACTCAATTTTTGTAAGTACAAATCCACAAATATGCACCTGTGACAGCCAACGTCAGTGCAATGGCTACTGGAGCTTACGGATACCTAAAAAAATTGAAATCAAAATTAATCAAACCATGTTCCTAGACAGGGGCGTACTCTAGGGGGGAGTTTAAAGGGGGACAAACAATTTTGCATATTTTTATTAAAAAAAAAACTCTTGAGCGGCTCCAGACTGACACACAGCTATTCGAATGCGGATTGAGTTTAAGTTTGAGTGCAAGGAATGCGGCAGTCAGTGTAGGTAGAGCTCAGCTTAGAGGTACAGTGAGACCTAATTAAAAGGAACTACAGTGTGTTAAATACCAAAGAAAATATTTATAAATTATAGGGGAAATATAGCACACTATTAAAGCTATTTATTTACTATAATAATAGTTAAAGGCTTATCAGAATATTTATGATTTGTAAATCCTGAGTTTCAATTTGTTAGAAGAACCTTCTTTTAAGATTTCTCTTTTTACCAAGCTCACCTGTAATTGGCACAGTTTTACCTGAGATTAGTGGCTGTGGCTGCAATGGCTATTTTAATTACAAGTAACCCATTTAAGTCCGAACAGCAAGAGCGCCGCCAGAGCGGCAGACATAACGCCCACGCACCTGGCGCACCGGCGTCCACTTGAGCAACTTACTCGCACAGGTAACAGGTAACAGGCGACAGGCGGCGACACCGCATTTTTAATAGCTCCAGTCATATAGATATATATGTATATATACCCATGGTATCTGTATCTGTATCTGTATCTGTATCTCAAGCCCCGACTTCACTTGCTCCACTCACTGCGCTTTACAAAGAGGCCTTTTTGTTATCTTGTCTCGCTTGTCGTTCAAATAAAAGTTGCCGGCAAAAAGGTGTGCAAGGTGTGCGAAATATGCGCACTGCGAATGCTCAAAAAAAGGTGCATGGATATAGATATAAAAGCTAGCAGATACTATATTAGTGGTATTTTTAAGGTTGATGATGTAAATGGGTCAGGGCGAATTTGTTGTAGCATTTTATAGGTTCACTTTTTGTGTATTTCTGTCTGGTCAGTTTGCAGATTACAATAGTTAAAGCTGCTCTACTTACAAGTAAAATGAAGAGTTTACAAATAAGGTTTTATTACAAAATATTTAAACCACTTTAGGTATGCAATTTGAAGTATTTATTGTAATAATAAATAATATGTAAGTCCCTTTAGATCCTTAAATAAATCACCATTATAGATTCACTTCTCTGCTTGCCCTGTCACTTCCTCTAGGTGTAATTAATTCCTATAAAATCTCACTAATTACGTGCTGTTTAGGTTCGTTTAAGAATTCTAGTGATAATGTCTTAGATATGCCGTTGAAGCTTAGAGAAGAGACTGCTTCTTCGATGATCGAGTGAGCGAACATCCGAGTATTTCCATGCCCAAAGCTCTGGCATATTTGCACGCACGCGCTTTGCAAAAAAAGATAACGAATGGCAAAGTATAATGACAAATACAAATTAAACAACTAATAAAACAAAACAAAAATAAAACAAAAACAATAGCATACAAGATACGAGACTAGAGTTCAGACAAAAATTAAAAGCGGCAAAAGAAAAGCGCGAAACATGTGTATCGGCCTTTTTCACACCTAAGCAGAATACCAGGTGAAACGAAAGATAAAATCAGGTAAGGCGGCGGCTGATGATGATGAGGGGGAAAAGAGAAGGGGTGCGGGGAGCTATGGCTTTTTGAAAGCCAATGCTAATTGACAAGGCCGTTGCTTATCGCCGCACGGGGTGGTGCACGTTGGCAGTGAGGCAGTTGAGGTTTTCTAAAAAGCAACAAGAAACAGCTCAATGAACTTGTCAGGTGCAGAGAGAGAAAATGTTAGATACTTAGATTTAGATTTTAGATTTTTTGATTTATTTAGATTTTAATTTTCATAAATTTTTAATTGAGTATAAAGAGTTTTATTAACCTAATAAAAACTAACATAGAAATGCTTTCCGAATTGAAATTAATGCATTTTTGGTTTAGTTATGAGATTTTGAAATTTTGATTTGTTGAAAAAATTGTCATATAAAACTATCAATAAATATTGATTCAAAGAATGCGAATATTTTAATTATTTTCCTTATAACTTCTTTATTTTAGGTAAATATACCTTAAAAACAATAATAATTAAAAATGACAAACATAAAGTAAATAAAGAAAAGTAATCTAAATCAATTCAAATTCAAATTCTATTCAATATTTGTACTCTATAAATCTTAAAGTTTCAATCTAGTCAAAATTTCTTTCTATGCTAATAGGAATCGTGCTAAAATTAACACAAACTATAGGAATTTGTAACGCCTATTTGCAATACCTTTTATTATTTATTTTTAAACACACCTAATATAAAAACATTTTTAGAACTGAAGTAATAATACATTTACTTCATATTATGTTAGTTGATATTTTGATTAACTTAGAAAGTCTTTAAAGTACTAAGAAATAATTTTGAGTCACTATTTTAATGTTTAGAAACCGATTAAATCATTTTTATTATCTAAGAAGTCATAATCTCCCAGTAACCTACTAAAACAATAGTAAATATGTACTTTTTATAATAAAGATTTTTAAAAACAACAATAAATTTGTGCACTGTTTTAAGAAAGATTGTAAAACCATGTAGTTAGATTTATTTTTGAACGTGACAAAGGCAAGGTCTTAAAAAATATTTAAAATTTAGTCACAAGCAAAATAAAACTTTCATAACAAATGGGGATAGTATAATATATCATTTAGTATACAAAAACTAAGTTTGAGCTTTATAAAAGGTCTTTCTAGCTAAAGTTAATGATTTTCCATCTTATGTTTAATTTTCACCTGCCTGAGACCTGTAATTATGGATGTATAAGTATATAAGTATGAATATATGAATGTACGGATGTACTTAGTGACCATAGCAAATGTAATCACAGCGTTGAGGAGGCCGCACTTGTCCGGGTACTGAACTCGGCAAGAACTGGGCTCTGTAACGAATACTATCAGCAGTAATTAATTTTTGCAGCCGTTAAGTCTAGGCAAGATTTACACACACTCCACTGGACGGGGCAGTATATACAATTTTTTCCTCTCGCACTTAAACATTTTTTGTTGCACCTTGCATTTTTGCAATTGTCACATTTCCCGGCTTTTGTCACGTCATTTTCACAGGGGTTTTTTTTTCTAAATATAAACATTTTACTTGATGAGTTAGTGTCATGGGGTGTTGCCTGAGAGGTGCCAAAAGGGGTTATATGATTTCCGTTGACGCCCCTCTTGAAGATTTGCAATCACTCTACGTACACTTATATCAGTCTTTACATAAAGAACCTTTTTCAAATACTAAGTCTCATGGCGCAGTTGTAATCTTGGGTTTTAATGGCTCTCATTTACTTTGGAATTACCTGGGGAATAATAAATATATATTGTTGTTTACAAGTATTTCAGTTAATACTTGAGACCTTACCCAACAAGCTTAACAATTGTCAATAAATGTTGGCTACCCGCCAAAGGTTTTCATAAGCTCCTAAAGTTGATAAGACCAGAACAAGGTTCACAGAGGATGTTAGCCATAAAGGATCTATAAGCAGCAAAAATAATAAATTTAGAAATTAAAAATTAAAGCCACAAACAGGTCATAATAAATGATATTATACTAAAGTAATGACATAACTCTATAAAAAAGCAAAACAGCCATAAAACTCTTGTAAAGATATCTGCTCCTACCTAGCTCTTGACATTATTTCCGGTAGTTATTTGACAGATCAATTAATTATCGCCTAATTGAAGGCTATAAATTAGGCTTGAAATGGCTTTGAAAATGGTATAATATATTTGCATCTGCCCATGTCTGGCTTACATCTTTTTGCCAGGACTATTGACAGCTGCTTTTTCAATTGAGAGTTTTTTTTAAGGAAGGGCGATGCCTGCGTTTTATTTTTTTGCAAAATGTTGGCGTGTTTATTACCTCATCACGTACCGCTTAAAAACGCAAAAGGAGGGAATGCGTGGAGCTCAGGTTACCACCTGAGCGATATAATGAACAAACTGAGGTGCAAAACTGGACGGAGGTGCCACGCGCCTTGCGCCAGCTGCAATCCAAATGATTGATATTGGGCGAGCTGGCTCGTCAGCTCAATATTTTGCACTGAAAGAAAATTACAAACTTAATTATTATTAATTTAAATGTTATATTCTTTGGGAAATAAGTATATGCCGAAATATCTAGAAACATCTAGGATGTCTAAGTCCTTCCCTATATTCATATTTATAATTCCATTGAGTAGAAGTTTGGTTTCTATATATTTCCCCCGGTTCCTATGAGTCTCAGGCTATAGAAATCACTCAATTTTTCTCTCAGTGTCCTCTGGCACTGCCCAACTATATATTGAATATATTCCTAAGGCCTCTAAACAGCCGCAAGTGACCATTAGATCGCTGGACTGTGGGCAGTGATCTCTTTTTTCGCTTCGGCTCTTTGGCGACGTCTGGCCGGAGACAACGGCAACGGCGGCGGCGGCATTCCTTCTCAAGCCCAAGCTTGGCGGCGTTCTCCATTCCATTCCAATCCAATTCAATCCAATCCAGCTTTCCAGGCCAAACCCCTTTCCCCTTGAAAAATCCCCCCCATATCCGATTGGAAAAAAATGGCGCTGTCCAAGTCGAGATGTAACCATTTAGCAATTGCTTCTCGCGCATTCGAATGCACTTGATCTATTGATCTTCGTGTTCGTTTCGCCAAATCGGCGTAGCACAGTGGTTGTGTTTGGGAGTTTATACAGGGGTTACTTTAGGGATGAAATAGATATAATCTAAATATACCATTATAAATAAAAATAAACAAAGAACTAGACTAGTTTTTTTAAAGGAAACCCTTTTAAAAAAAGGGGGGTTTATACATATTTCTACTACCTCAAATGCAATTAAGCGAATTACTGACTTTCCCTGTATCAGAATGTTGCTTAACTTAAATTATACAAATATAAATGTATTTATTTATACATAAATATATCAATCTTATCGATGCCTAACCCTCGAGCAAGTCTCTGTAGTTTTCCCAGTCTTTAAAGTCGCCCACAACTTTGTGTTTATCTTGGCTAAAACTTTTCCAAATGGCACACTGCAAAATTGGCAACCACTGTGCCGGGGCCAAGTTTTCGTTACCTGTTTGCCTTGCAGTTCAATGCACTGGCGGCCAACCAGTTCAAAAAATTATGACAGCAAATGGCAAGGGGAGGTGAGAAGGAGTTGCAGCTGAAGTTGGAGCCGGAGCCGGAGCCGGAGTCTGCCTTATTTGTAAACAATTGTGGGCCGTCTCTCTAACTGTTACTGCTGGCCAATAGGCCGCCTTTCAATGAGACGAGCACTGAAAGAAATTAATGGAATTCTGACAAAATAAAAGGTTTTAAAATAAGTTAAATCAGGTAGCTAGGGAAATAAACTGAAAAGAAGCTATTCATATTAACTAATGTTGATTAATGTTTCCCCATCAATCTTACTTTTAATCCCTGTTATCCCCTGTCTTAATCTTAAATATCTTCCTTTTACAGGGACACTCTATTCCGCATGTCTTTCGATCTGGAACCGCTGGAGCGTTCCAGCTGGGGGGCCACACCATCGGAGATTGCCATGTGCCAGGCAAAAGGCCAGTCGGAGCGATGGTGTCGCAACTATGTGCGCGTGCTCCACAGCTACGGTGAGAACCAGCTGTACGCGTGTGGGACGAACGCCTTCCAGCCGAGCTGCTCGTGGCGCCAGGTGAGTGGTTGTCGTCGTGGTCCACCAAGTCGTCCAAGAGTCGCCAAACTGACGCGACTGATTTACCCCTCTTTCCCGCAGATGGAGAACCTCAACATCACCGGCGTGGACAGCGGCGTGGTCAAGTGCCCCTTCCATCCGCAGGCAAATAGCACCAGTTTGCTCCAAGCCAATGGACAATTGTTTGTAGGAACTGCCACGGATTTTTCGGGCAGTGATGTGGCAATCCTGCGAACGGGAGTGCAATCCAATGAGGTGGGTTTCGGGGGTTACTGCCTTGGCTCACATGGCGTATGAGTAATATTTTATTTATTTAAAATATTTATTGAGGGTTTTTAATGGTTACTTAATTAATGTTTATTTTATTTATTAATTTTATTTGGATTTTATCTCAATTTTACTTGACTTTAATTTGTTCAGTTATAGGCGAATTAATCTTTGCTTCGCACACCTTGCGTATGAGTAATATTTTTGTATTTCATATATTTATTTGGTTTTTTGTATGGTTTGTTTTATTATGGTTATTTCATTTGCTAATTTTTGTAAGAATTTTCCTTAAAATTACTTGATTTTATTTTGTTTAGTTATAGAAAACTTTATATTCGCTTGGCACACCCTGCGTATGAGTAATTGTTTTGTATTTCATATATCTTTTGGGAGTTTTTTTTACATGTTTTTCTTATTATCGTTGTTTGATTTGCTAATTTTATTAAATATTTTCCCTTAAATAACTTGATTTTAACAAGTTTAGTTATAGGCGACTTCATGTTCGCTTGGCACACCCTGCGTATGAGTAATTTATTTACTTCATACAAGCCTTTAATCAAATTTTTGCTGCTTTTAATCTGTGTAATGTTCCCTTTTTTGTTAAACTGTTTTTAATTTATTTTTAAACTCTTTTAATGAATTTCAACTAAATGTAGCTTTAATTTAATAAATAAAAGATAGTAGAATGTAACTAAAATACACTTTTATGTTAAGACAAAGAAAAAGGGGGAAAAATATACATTAAAATTTTATTTAAATCCCTTTGTTCCCTTTTATAATTTACTCAATTATTATTTATTTATTAAAATTAAATATTTAACATTTGTTAATATCTAATTTTCAGCGTTTCCTTCGTACCAAGCAATATAATAACAACTGGCTAAGTGGAGCCCAATTCGTGGGAAGCTTCGAGGCTGGCAACTTTGTCTACTTTTTGCTACGCGAGTCCGCTGCCGAGCACATGAGCTGTGGCAAGGTAAAGTTATTATCTAACAAGAATTAAAGCTAACTTCGGAACGCCGAAGTTTGTATACCCTTGCAGATTGAAGTTCGATCACTAGGAATTAATACAATATAAATTATATATATTTATGTTAAAAAACAATAAGGTAATGCCTGATCTTAGTTAATTACTGCTCATAGTTCTATAAATCGTCCGATCGTTCCGATGTCAGCTATATATATATGTATAGATATAGTCCACCGATTCGCCATGCTCCGATTTATATACTAGTAAAATTATATAGAAGAATAACTGCATGGTTTCACTCAAATAGCTTAAATTTGTTCCAAAACACATCTCGCACATCTGTGCATATGATTCCCAACTGGTTCTAACATCCCCGGAACGAAGTGACTGCTGCCGGCCAAGTCTCAGAAATGTGTTGTGTTACAAAGTTGCAAGTCATTGTTTATTAGTGTTCAAAATTAGTAACTAATCATAGATACTTACTGGTCATAGATACTTACTGGTCATAGATACTTACTGTTCTCAGAGGTTATTACTGATCATAGTAACTAACTGACCATAGTTACTTATTGATTATAGTTACTTACTGCTCATAATTAATTACATTTAAAAGATACTTACTCATCCTCTTCATCCCCACAGGTGATCTATTCAAGGATAGCTCGTGTCTGCAAAAACGATGCTGGCGGCGGCAGACTTTTAAAAGAGAACTGGACATCCTTTTTGAAGGCTCGCCTCAACTGCTCACTGCCCGGGGAATATCCCTACTATTTCGATGAGATCCAGGGCATGACATATGCCGAATCCGAGTCCATACTATATGCCACCTTTAGAACTTCAGGGTAGGTTTTACCTGAAGGTTTTACGGAGATTTCTTTGATACTAATCCTTTGAATTTTCCCCACAGTTCCAGCATCTTCGGCTCGGCTGTCTGTGCTTACAATCTAAGTGCCATCAATGAAGCCTTCGATGGACCCTTCAGGCACCAGGAGCACGCAGATGCCGCCTGGCAAACGGTGGACACCAACCAGAGGAGCCAGTTTCAGTGTGCCAGTGGATCGACTAGCTTTGGTCACTGGTTGGAGAGTTCCCGGTACCAACTAATGGACAAGTCAGTTCAACCCATTGGAGCCCAGCCCTTGTATCATTCAAAGTTGGAGCAATTTGGTCGTTTGGCTCTGGACATCATTCATACGAAAACGGAGCAAGTGCATGTTCTATTTGTGGCCAGCAGTGGGAATAACATCAAGAAGCTGTCTGTGAAGTATGACAGAGGCGAGGCTCAAACCTGTCTGGTGGAACTGTGGCAGGCAGATGATACCGGAAGCAGTTCTCTCCTAAACATGGCATACCTGAAGGTTAGCGACTCCCTTTACCTGGGCACAGATTTGGCGCTCACTCGGATTCCCGCCCAGCACTGCAGCCGACATGTGTCGCAGTCAAGTTGCCTTAACGCCATGGATCCATACTGCGGTTGGAACGAACTGGTGGAGCGTTGCATGCCCCAGCCTTTGGACTCCTCGGTGTGGCAGCATTGGCATCAGGCACCGCAGCTCACTTGTCCCGTGCTGAATGCCCCCATCGATGGCGGCTGGTCCACATGGAGCAACTGGGCTGTGTGCCAACAGCATGAGCAACCGGATAGCAACTGTCAGTGCAGGCAGCGAACTTGCAACAACCCGCAGCCTCAACATGGAGGTTCCAGTTGCGAGGGCATAAGCACCCAGGTGACCAATTGCACCCAACATGGTGGCTGGACAGAGTGGTCCGCTTGGTCGCCCTGCTCTCAAACCTGCGGCATTGCAGTGAAGATCCGGCGACGAACCTGTGGCAACCCGCGGCCAGCTCATGGCGGACGCACCTGCGTGGGTTCGGAACAATCGGAGATTTACTGCCGCCATCTGCCACCTTGTCCGGTGGCCAAGCCGCAGTCCGTGGACGGTGGCTGGGGACCCTGGGGCGAGTGGAGCGAGTGCAGTGCCCAGTGTGGTGGTGGCTTCCGTATGAGACGAAGGGAGTGCAATGATCCTGCTCCATTGAATGGAGGCATGGAGTGCCCTGGCTGTCGTCTGGATTACGAGGAGTGCAACATGCAGAGCTGTCAGGAGGTGCGCAAACTCAGTGCCTGGACTCCTTGGCTAACGGCAGGGGGTAGTGGAAACTCAAGTGAACCACACCTGGAGCGACGCTATAGGTACGCCTGCCGGGCCACCAGTCCCGATGCCAGCTCTGTGCGCATTAGCCTGGCCAAGGAGGAGTCTCGCAGCTGTCATGCCGATGGTAGTTGTCAGCGACAAGGTGATCATGATTCCATGGATACTGGAGATGCGGCAGATTGGTCACCTTGCAGCGTGAGTTGTGGTGGTGGCATGCAGCATCGGCAGCGAGGACGTGGCACTCAGAGTCGCAGCTGTAATCTACAGGCTTGTCCCACGGATGAGCAACTGACGGGCAATGCCATTGACAATGAGCTGGAGCATGGAGAGTGGGGTTGCTGGTCGGAATGGTCTGCCTGCTCGGTGACCTGCGGCTTGGGACTGCGCAGGCGTACGCGACGGTGTTTGAGTGGACACGAAAGGATGTGCCAGGGACGTGCTCTCGAAGAGCAAAAGTGTGAAATGGTACCATGCGAAGGTGGGTCTTTTAAATCTTTGAATTTGCGCTCAGACTAAGATCTCTTTTTATTCCTTTTTAGACTTTTTGGGCTGGAGTTCTTGGAGCGAGTGGTCTAGCTGCTCTAGTGATGGCATTCGCCTGAGACATCGTCGCTGTCTTATGGAGCAACCGAATGCCCAGGAATGCCGTGGAGCAGAGTTTGAGAAGACTGCCTGTGTCCCTAATGAATGCGAGGGTAGGTTTTGCTTTCTTAAATCTTACTAAGACCTGTATTAAACTTTATTTTGATATCTTATAGATATACAAACTGCCTCAACGGCCACTGTGCCCATTGTAATTGGAGTTTGCCTGCTTATAACTGTGGCCTGTTGCCTGGCCACTTATCGTTACACCAAACACAGATTCCTGTTGAGTGCCGAAGAGGCTCTAAACAAGACCACCACTACCACAGTCAGTTTTGACACTTATCCCAATCAGTATTCCAGCCTGCCCACCAAAGACGTGAGTTATCTTTACCTACAATCCCCTGAAAAAGTAATAATAAAATATCTCTTTTAATAACCTTAGTACTACGATCAGCGACCGAAGCGTCAGTCCAGCTTCCGTATGCCTGCCAAGACAAGCAATTTGGGTAATGGCAATGGCAATGGCACTCTCAATCGCAACAATATGCATCACAATAATACACCCAAAGTGCTGGCCAAGACCTACAATGACTGTGAGACGGGAACGTTGAAGCGACAGTCGGCTTTGAATAATTGCCGGAGCAATATTGATGATGAAAAGTTCTAGATCCGGATATATTACTGTCTCCTCTAGTGCCATGGATATATTAGAACGATATATATATATATGTTTTTTTTTTTTGCGCCAAATCAGATGCAGAAGCAAAAAGTTCCTTGACTGACTCACATTGAGTCGTTTTAGTTAAGCTAATTGAGGTAGTTATGGACCTAAGTAGTTTTGATTAAGTTAGTTTAAGTCTAAAGTTAAGTTCAGGAAGTATTTTATGTGGGATTTCCATTCAAAACATTTCAAAATTTCCACTCACTCTGTTCTTGCATTTAATTCTGTAGATAGAGTCACTTAAAATTGTTGTACAAATCGTTTAAGTTTATAATAAACAAACAAAGCGAGACTGACCGTTAATCATTTTTTAGATACAAAAAAATATGTGCTAAATTTTCCAAAATTAATGCCATGGAGCTAAATATTCAACAATATTTAATTATGTTTAACTATATGAATTAGTTTACTTTTAACTTATCATAGTTTATGGAGTCAAAACTGACTTAGTCGAAATAGAGCCTAAGATACGTAAACAACGAGAAAATAAAACGAGTTTTACTAACCAAAATATATGAGAAATTGTTTTTGAAAAATTCATTTATGAAATAATTACGATATAAATTATTTGACTTATTTATTTATTATTTATCTTTTCAAAGATCATGGCACTAAATTGTGATCGTTTTATATTTAGTACATTTTAGACTTCAGTCATTGCAGAAACCCACGATCAGCTAGACTTGGAACTAAAGTTTATAGATTCTAAATGACCATAATACTTAATGATATTATAGCGAGTGGAACTAAAGTTTAGTACTTCATCAAATTATCAATACACCAACCACTAATCAGCCAGGCCTACTGCCTAAATTTATACAAACCAAATTAAATGGAATATAATTTATTTGTATGGTCAATAGAATCATATTTCCTTTTGTTGTAAAGTGACAAAGAGATATGGTTTGGTTCCATTTGACCTAAAATGTTTTAGATCACAACTTTTTAGTACATCATTCACTAGCCAATACACACACTTTTTTTAGGCCAGCTCACAACCCAGAGGTTGTAGTTTACAAATTCAACAAAATACACATATATAATGGCGCTACAGCTGTAAATAAAGCAATGTAGAAGTATATAAATATATATTTTTTCCTTTTTATTTTCTATTTTTTTTAACAAAAAAATCACCTATGATTTTTTCCAGTCCTACTGTACTAATAAATTCTGAATATACAAGCAAGAGTCAGCTATTTCCTTTGGCTTAAAGTTTTGACATTTTGACTGGTATATCGTTTCTGGCACTTCTGGGCTTTCTTTGCTTTTCCTTTGACTGGACTCTTTATAATCTCACTTGATCTTTCGACGAATTGTGCACGCTGGTGACAGGACATTTGATTCCAGCAAATCCTGGCTTCTTGAACTATCCTTTCGGTAAATAACGCCAGCAAGTTGTAAAATGCTGCAGGATTCGGAATGCTGCGTACAAAAGAGATGCGCGTTTTCACCTGTTTGTCCTTAGAGCTCTGGCGAAGATTGTCTTCCTATTTGAAGTGTTAAAGAAAACAGAAGAAGCTTAAGATTGGTATCAAAGGATAACAGAAACTCTCACCTCTTCAACGGAAACATTAAGCATATAAGAGCTACGCCCTTCAGGTTTGTAGAAAGAAAAGGTAGTCATAATTTAAATATATATCCTGTTAAAAAAGTGTTTTCTAAGGACTTAAATTAAAGATTTATTATTTATATATGTTCCTAAAAAAACTACAATGTTTAAGCAAATGATTTAGACTGGATGTTTATATTGAATTTGAACAAAGACTCACCGGTTGCTGAAATAGTTTAATATTTTATTTACTAATATTAATTCAAAAAAATTCCAATACCTTTTCAATCATAGTATTTTTCTAAATGATACCTTTACAAATTAAAATAGTTTGCCTTAATACTTAAAATACTGATACTAATTTATAATCTCAACTTATGATATTACATTTCCAATTTCTCCATAATTTATTTCAATGGGTTTAACAAACGATCAATTGCCTTGACTCTGGCCTGGTCTCCCAAAAAAATTTATGTGCGGTTCCCACAATAATTTATCAAAGCGACAACCAACCGGCAATTTGAAAATGAAAACTCCCGAGGACTGCTTAAATGATCTTCCAAGATTAAGAGGATTCAGCGCGCAGGCGCACCATCAAAAGTCATCAGGAAGGTGTCACAAATCATTCACACACGACAAGGGGGAAAATTCGATGGGGAATGAGCTCGCTGGAAGTGATATTAAAGCGGCCAAAGATAAATACGGGGAAGCGAGGCCAGGGAAATTGAAACAGTTGCTTGGAAAAATCAAGCAAAGACCGAGGACTATGTAGCCAGCTAGCACTTCCAGCGAAGCGTTCAGCCATCGTGTAATACAATCCGTGCGTAACTATAACTACTTAGTACACGCATGTATCTTGTAGCTTCGATCCGTGAGGTGAATAAACTCCAATCTGTGACTGCGCTTGCGCCTGCGCCAAGTATCTATCTCTTCATGGCGGGAAGTGTGTCCTCCTGTTGCTGTCATCCAATTTCAAAACATGAAAAATTAGTCCATTTCCGTTGCCTAGATGGCATCTCCTCCATGTGCTCACCTAGGCTCATCCTTGGCCCCGCCAGGGGTTGAATGAACTGCAATTGTATCCAGATTCAGTCCTGCACGGCAGACTTGTTGCCGCATTGCGCTATATTATCCCACCACCACCTTTTCGGTGCATTGAACTCGGGCTTAGGATAGTTCGTTGGGGTTGCGGTTGCAGTGGTTTTTCCACTGGCAAGTACAGTCACCGGGAGGACAATTTTTAAGTTAGTTGATCATAAATTATTAATTGTATAGGGGGTTAAGAAATACAAGATTTATAAAGGCTTTCTTTGTTGCAAGCTATTTCAATTTCTCAACCATAGTAGTGTAAATTATGCTTTTCATTACTCTCTTTTCATACCTTTGCAGGGTTTCATAAGTTCAGTCAGAAGCTTCAAATACTGTGAAGGAGTCATTTCCGATCCTATAAATCATAAATATTCTTGATTCTGATTCTGATTTTCACTGCAAGGGTAGAGAAATATTGGTTTCCCAAAGTCAGTAAATAAGAAAATAAGAAAATTAAGTAAATTTTTTAGTTTTATAAATACGAAACAATTTTCGAGTATCTCTTTCAATGGGAAAAGCGATGCCTCAGCCTAATATTTAATGATTATAAGCTGAAGCTGAAATTAGCTAAAGATATTACAAGTTTTGTAAAACTAAAACACTACATGGTGTCCCTAGGTTTAGTCTTAGTTTTTCCCCTCTAATTTGAATATTTAGTTAAAATTTTTGGAACCCCTTTTCCATATTCTAGAATTCTTTTAAATATTCGTTCCCCTTTTAGGCATCTACTGAAGTCCGAGCCTTAAGATGGCAGTGCAATTAAATGGCAACCAAGCAAGCGACACTCTGGTTCCGCTATCAACCCGCTGCCCTCCGTCTCCTCCTCCTCCTCTTGCTCCTCCTGCTCCTCCTGCTCCTCCTGCTCCTCCTACTCCTCCTTAGCCTCTGCTCCGATTGCTCCATATCTCAGGGGCACAGATCCCATTAGAAACCGAGCACGCTTCGCGGGGTGCAACGAAAACAGACGCAGAGTCTGCTCCCGAGGATCAGTGGTGCTCAGAAGAGTTCATTAATGCCTCTAAAAAAGAAAATTAAAGATAAGATATATAAGAAAAATATATTTAAAATTTGTATATGAATAAGAAAATATTTAAAGAACTGGTAAAATTTTTTAAAGATATTGCGTTCATTTTCAATTAGAATATACCTTTTTAAAGTAACTTTTATGATGCTTAGCTATGATTAAAAATTGGATAAAACTATCTGAAGGGTATGTAAATATTTCATATTATATATTAGTATCTTATCTAGTAAAACTTACTTTTTAAATGTAAATCTGCATGCGTGAATTTCTTTAAATTCCTCGAGCTAAAATCAAGCTAACTAAGCATTTTGTTTTCTAGAAAATAAAACGGAATCTAACGAAAGTGATGGACCGGCGCTGACTGCACGTTCTTCCCGTGACTATTTTTAGCGCCGCCTCTGGGCTCTCCGTCTAGTTAGCACCGGGGCGTAGATACACGTACTCGTAGATACACGTACTCTGACATCCGTGCGCACGGATGTATCTGCATCTTCGCCTCCTGTTGCTGAGGGCGGCTGCGGCTGCGCTGCCCTACCGCCGCTGCTGCTGCTGTTGATATTCATCCGTCGGATGCAGTTGCCGCCAGCTCGGCGATCCGCTCGTCTCAATTGCATTCCAGCGCGCGTTCGGTGCGGATACGGTTACATTTACGGCGGATAAAAGATACGGATGCAGCATTAGCGCGAGAAGGATTGATTGCCACATTGGATTATCAGTGAAATAATAGTGAAAAATAGTGACAGTGAGAGAAGATCTGAGGCAAAGTGGCAATGCACACTCGATATACGTGCCCCGTGATTAAAAAGTTAAATTAAAAGTTCCTAAATAATTATTAAACACAAACAGATTGTGATCCTGATTGGATTTGTGATTAAGAATTGTGAAAATTGTAAACTACACAGGCGTTCCAAATATTACAAAGACGAAGGATTAATAACATCGTTTAAAGGTTTGTTTTTGAAAATATATTAGTTGTAGATCGTAAAAAACTTTAAAGGTTTTATCTTGGGTGTTGGAATTATATATTTCCCTATACAGGCATTATTTAAATAGAGGCAGTCTGATGAAATTAAAATAAATAAAGAAGAAGATTACAGAAGAAACACAGAGACAAATTTTACACAAGATTTAAAAGAAATAAGGTCAACATTTTATATTAAAGATATGTATCTTGTAACCTTCCATTACTTTTCTAAAAATTGAAAAATTGAATATAAGAAGTTGCCCAAAAAAGGATAACATATCAGGGTATAGGTATTCATATATATATATATAATAATTGGAATAGTTAGACAATCCTTTCTTGTATTTCACCCATCGTAATCCATATACACCTAAAGAGAGACCTCAAAATAATCCCCTTAAATGAGTAATGCCAAAGTAATTCGATGTCGGCCTAAGTAGCCAGCGGAATTTCGCATTATCTCCCCAATCGCCAGATCGAGAGGCATCCTAAAAAGGGAGCATCGTTCGGTGACCACATCCCAGAGCATTTAAGTGGAAATGTGGAAATGTCTGCTGGAGCGGCGAGCCGAAACAAAGGCAGCTGAATTTAAATTGGGAACCAACTGAAAAATGTCGCCTTCAGTTCGATGGGGCGCACGTTGCCTCCTCTTTAGGATGGGTAAAATCTAAAGAAAAAGAAAGGAAATAAGCTTCGAAAAGCCGAAGTTTATAGACCCTTAAAGTTTGCAATTAAATAATAGGATCAAATCGGAAATTGATCATAACTAAGCATGAATCAATATTTATCTGTTTTTATATTACAAGAAATATGACGAGTAATCAATTTTTAAAAAATCGCATAACTAATTTTAATTCGGAAAGCTGTTTTTTGCTAGTTGTTATTAGATTAACAAATCTGCATACTCAATATAAAATTTCAGTAAATTACATTTTTGGCCAAATTATGAAAATTTCATGATGTAACCCCTTATCGTTTTTTTTTTCAAATATTGAAAAATTTTCAAAAAATTAATTTTTTGACTGGACATGCCTAGATCGATTCTCCTGTTGATTTTGATCAAGAATATATATGATTTATAGGGTCGAAAAAGACTCCTTCGCTGAGTTACAAGCTTCTGACTATAACTAAAATACCCTGTAAGGGTATATACATATAAAAAACAAAAACAGCAACGTTCAAAATGTAAACAACACAAAAAGAGTAAACGAAGCACAAGTTCAAGATTCTCACAGATACTCGGCACACACACACACTCGCAGGAACGAATAGCTAAAAGTAGAAACGCGCGCAGACGAAGCAATAAACTGCACGGAAAGTAGTTTAATGCAGTTTGCTGGGGATCCTGGCAGGCCCCCCCTTGCACCTCCCAGACCCCTGTCCCCTGTCCCTGTCCCCGTTCCGTGGCGCACGACAAACAACTACAACTACAAATAGAAATAAAATACAACAACTGCAGCCACGTCGCGTCGCGCTTAGTTTTTCCTCTGTCGATCGTTTGCCTGATCTATTTTCGTACCGCTCTTGGGATGTGTAGTTTTTCGTCGCCTCGAGTAATTTGTTTGTTGCATTAGTTTGGTGGAAATTCTACACTGCGGGAAATTTTATATCATATTTACATATTTATCTATGGTATATCTAAATATTTATCAACCATTTTGTTTAATAATCATAAATAGCTGAGCATTTGAAATCGTGTTAAAATGTGCTGAAAAGTATGCTATAAAATATCGCACTGCAAAAATGCATTGCAATACTTTGAGTAGGTGAAACATTTTACCTTTCCAGCTGATTTTAACAACACAGGAATCCTTCTAGATGTAGATTTAATAGATCTATATAATATTTTTATATTCCCTATAAATCTTCAGTGCATTTTCGTCAAACCCAAGCAAACTAAAATCGTTCCTTTGCTTGTTCCCCATCACAGCAAAAAAATTTGCACTCAAACAAACCAGGAGAAGGGAATGCGGTATGACCACAAATGTTTATTTAAAACTTTTGCATTGCCAAAGTCAACTTTGCAGTGGCACAAGCCAAACGTTAGTTTTTCCCCAAGCGAGTTCAACAAAATCTCTGGAAAATAGGGGGGAAACAACTACAATAACTATTGCAAATA